CATGGAACCTTGGTCTATGGTAAGGATGGAGACATCAAATGTTCCTCCACCCAAATCAAAGATGAGTACATTTTTCTCACCTGAGAGGTTTTTATCGAGTCCATAGGCCAAGGCAGCCGCTGTGGGTTCATTCACAATCCTGAGAACATTGAGACCGGCTATGACACCAGCATCCTTGGTGGCCTCTCTTTGAGCATTATTGAAATAAGCTGGGACAGTAATGACGGCGTCTTTAACAGGTTGTCCTAGGTAAGATTCTGCCGTCTCCTTCATTTTGGTCAGTACCATGGAGCTGATCTCCTCCGGTGTAAATCGTTTTTTCTCATTTTTGTGTTCTACTTCAAGCTTTGGTTTTCCTCCCTCATTGACAACTTTAAACGGCCAGTGTTTCATGTCGGCTTGCACACTTTCATCATTAAACTTTCGTCCAATCAGCCTTTTGGCATCAAAAATCGTATTAGCGCTGTTTAGTGCTACCTGATTTTTAGCTGCATCTCCAATGAGTCTCTCGCTGTCTGTGAATGCCACATAACTGGGCGTCGTTCTGTTTCCTTGGTCGTTAGCAATAATTTCCACCTTTCCGTGTTGAAAAACACCAACACAGGAATACGTTGTTCCGAGATCAATGCCGATAGCTGGGGCTTTACTAGCCATGATTGTTTGTAAACACTAAAGTGAAAGTACAAATGTGTGTCAGATAATCACTTACTTTTGGTAGCGTATCCTCGATACAAAGTAGTAGTTTCTCTTTCAGTCGTGTGGGACTTCGTTTAACTGACATCTTTGGTTTGGGTCAGGCTTTATATACTATGAATGAAAGTTCTTGATAATACGAGATTCCCTTTTCATGATCATGCGCGATGAATCCCGAAAGCACTAATCTATAAATAGCACGAAACGTACGTAGTATGTGTAGCTTCGGCGGATCTAGAATTTTCGAGAGATAGTTAAAACCGATTTGATTCGATGAAAGAAAATGATATGAATCAACGCTTGCCAAGTTCTAAAGGAATGAATTAATGTCGCTATTGTAAAGGAATATACTGAGTACTTTAATACAGAGTCAGACGTTGGTATGACGTTGGTATACGAGTATATGCTAATTCTAAAATGTGTGAACAATTTTAATTTTAATACACATTTTAAAGACCGACTATGTTTTTTAATTGAATGAGTATGGAATATTCGATAAAAAAAAAGAAATTTAATTGATTAAATGTAAACAAAAACAGGGACCTATATAGTAATAGTATAATAATTAGTATAATAGGTCCCTGACATAAATAAGAAATGATACTTTACAAATAAATGGTATAGCTTATGAATTAATATAATGCGTTTTTCTCATATTTATTCATTTTCATGTCATGTTCATCCCTTGTAAAATAAACTGTTTCTGCACTAGTATGACACTGTATGAATTAAAGGCCTGCAAGTCGAACAACTTGTATTGGTGTATTATGGCATGTAGAGTTATCTGATATTACCTTTTTTTTAATTAATGTATTTAATTTGACAAAAACCATATGTGGCGCAAGTCATACGTTGTATACAGTAAACAAATATATAATCACATAAATTTTCATATATTAAATGCACAGTGGCGTAGGTCGGAAATTTTTGTTTTAAATGATTCTAAATGGTGCATTTTCCAGCATTTTTTGGTACTTTTTGTAGCTTTTTTCAAGACCGATCATCACAAATTTTTAAGGATTTAGAAAAATAAAATGTTTCAATTTAAATTAACTTTAACACAATGTTTTAGAATTTGCTTTAAAAAATTGTTAAATCTGACAAATTTAGGAATACAAGCAGTTGACTTCAAGTTGTTTTCTCTTTGAAATAAATACGCCTTCAATTAATTTTGTCGTATGTAAAGCTGACTTCTAAGATACAAGTGATGTGTATTTGTGTAATTTGTGTGAAAGTACAAATAAACCATTTAAAATAAAAAGATACAACTGATGTGCAACTTTTAAACACTTTCAAAAATTAACAAATTGAATTCTTTTCAGAATCCCTAACTAGTGCTCTTCAATTTACTTGAGTATACTGTCAATATGATATGGAATATAAACACGCATGCACTATTAATGATATTTCAAACTGAAGAAAAAAATACATAAACTGAAGAATCTGTCAAAACTAGAGGGTTATGCTAAGCCCATCTGATTTTGTAAAAGAAAAAAAATGGTATTAATTTAATTTTTAAAAGGGTAAAAAAGTACTGAATAGTAGTTTATATTCAAATAGTAAAAAAAAGCATTTTATCAGCAAAAGAGTATTACTGAGGAGAACCGTAACTATGCAGTTCTCTGTTGTTGGTACCTGATGTACTGTACATGTATATGACCTTGTGACAAGATGCAACTACCCTAATCTCTCTGTTGATTACCTGTGTATTGTGTGCGTTTAAGCGGAAAGTGATTTCCTTTTCTATAGTAGTTGATGTATATTTCACAGTGGTAAAGAACTATGGGTTTGTGTTTATTATAGAGTCTTATCAATGCAACAAAATGATAAAATGACAAAAATTCAATGAGCGGGGGGGGGGGGAGGGGAGGTGTTCTGACCCCCCCCCAAACCCACCTGAATCCGCCACTGATGCATCACGTATGAAGTTACATATCTCTTGTATATTTAACATATACTAGATTATGAATGTCAGAAGATAATGTATAATTGAAAACTATAAAACGTGTACTAAATTCACTTCTTAGTTGTTTATAAAGAGGACATGCAAATTAAAAATGGTGTTCATCTTCAACAGTTTGACAATTAATACAATATCTTTCATCTCTTGATATGATTGGGTTACAATATCTGCCAACCTCTATCTGTACTTTGTGCGCACGGCACTTATTCTCAATCGAGAACAGGCACGTAGTATCGTTTTTGAAAGTGGGGGGGCCAACCTGAAATTTTTTTTTACTTACCTGAAAAAGTTGACAAGCAAAAAAAAAAAAAAAAAAGGAAAAATTAAAAGTTACACAAAGTCGAAAATCCTATTTCGTGGGGGGGGGGGTAGTGGCCAACTTTTTTCAAGACCAACTACCTTTCAATTCAACCTTTTTGAGGTAAATTTTCTTTATAACACTACACTGTGCTGAAATGTGGGGGGGGCCAACCTTCCTTTCAGTAAACATTTTCTATAGTAAAGGTAATGTCGGGAGAAAAAGTGGGGGGGCCAGGCCCCCCCTGGCCCCCCCTGATACTACGTGCCTGGAGAAAAAAAGAACGAAGATTCTTGGAAATGGGAAAAATTAACTATATGGTTGAATTTCAAGCTTGTTTAGATTTCCTTGACTTATCAACTCGCTGTAGATTGATAATTTGCCATTACCCTTTTCTTTGATATTTATCATTTCCCTAAAAACTATATTCTCTAAATACTTTTCAAAATCATTTATTGATTATATGTATTAGCATTTGAACAAATAACTTAATCAAGTATAGTTTGTATACAGTATTGCCAACATGTTTTTCCATTTCCTGCAAGTTTTTTATCCTCTAAATATGCATGTTGTAAAAGTTTGAATTCTTTTGATCTGAAACAATTTTCTGTAATATAATGTCAAAATAATAATTTATAAATTCTGAAAATAATGGAAAGTGCACCAAACTCTACTCAACTGCTAAACTAGACGCTTTATTAATGGATCCCTTAAATATCTTTCAAGATGACATTTTGAATTTTTTTCAAATGGAGTTTTATCAAAGTCTTTTGTATTTTTTTTTTAAAATCACTTATCCAGCTAGATATTCGAAGCATAAGTCAAAATTGGCATAATGCATGATTCATATATCTAAAACTGAGCCTTTCCTGAGAGACTAAGATTGCTTGGTAACTTTGATTTGATATAAAATATGCTTTCCTTGCTCTACCTCCTAAATTCTCGCATGCATATTTCAATTTACCATAATTTTTTTAAGGCAACACCCAAATCATTATATACATCAACAAAAGCAAACTTTAAACTTCATTGTTTTACAACTCAATTTTTTTAACGTTTTTTTTACTAGAAAATACCATAGCATTACTTGTTGTGTACTAGTATTTTCTTCTAACTTCCATTCACAACAATATTTTTCCAATGAATTAATATTAAATCAATATAATTATATGACCTGCATTTTTTGAGAATTTTCATTCGCTGTTAAAATGTGCTGCTATAAAAAAATCTTTATACAACTTAAACCTTTATGATCAATTAAACGAAAATAAATAAATATAGTCCTTCCACCGCAAACAGACATTTATAAACGTTTTTTTTCCTGACAATGAAATCACAGTTAAAGTTTAGTCTAAATTAAATTAAATTTCGACTACCTGAAGGTAATTTGTTTAAATGCTTATGAATGAAGTTGTCTTTCTTTTCAATAGACAGAATATTGAAATTAGTATACAAGCTTCCTCGGATATAGTGTAGATTCAAATTTAATTAACGCAAAAATTAACGCCTAAAGGTAGCTCAAATAGGTGGGGACACAAAAGCTGACAAGCACATATATCTTGTAAACTGAGAAAAAGATTGCATTGACTTCGCATTAATTTACACTCCACAAAGACGGGTCCATGAACCAGAATGGTCACATCGGCCGCGCTGTTTTAAAGATTTCAAAGACTTTACTTACTTGGAAGGCGTCTCCATATGAGTGAAAAATCTTCAAGAGGGACGTTAAACAACGTGCAAACAAACAAACTTACATTTTGTACTTGGAAAATTCTTACCCTGAATGCAGACCAAACTTAGCCCCACAGATCTGGTCATATTTTGGTGTAAAAAGCGGAAACTGCGCAGTATTTATCTCGCATACCTGCATTCACAAGACATAATATACTAACAGAAGACCAACCTCCCACTTATTTTTTTTTAATATTACTCGAGCAACCATATGTCGAACATTTGAAACTTTGTTCTGTGCTATTTAACTTTGAAACAAGATGGTTATCTTGGAATTCAAAATAATAAAAAAAAAAATTAGAAGGAAAACAACAATTTTTTTTAACTTTTGCTAATTTTATTAATGTATAACATCACATTAGCAGCTGTTGGCAGTAAGCAGTTGACAGGAACAGTAAGCAAATTAAAAGCAGTTGCATGGCTGTCTGATATGGAATTCCATATGTGAATCCAAATTCAATAGTAATTGGAGTGCCCGTCTGGACATCCGTACGTCCTTTACGCTTTGAGCTATCCATCTCTCATCCACAACTCCTCCTAAACAACTACCTGTAAATAAAATAAATGACACATTAATTTAATTCGTAGTGCTTTTGCACACCTCAAGGATACTTCTTGATGGGACACATATTTCAGGCTTCCCATAGCCAAATGTGGACAATTTCTATGATAAAGAGCTTAAAAATCTCTTTTCCACAACTTTTCCTTTATTATGGAATAAAATATTGTAAATCAACTTTTATTTGCGTGCGAGAAATTTTCGCGAAGTTCACGAGAGCCTCTTCATCGCGAATATTTCTTGCCGTGAACCGTTTTTAAAAAGTCTTCATCTATTAACAACAGATTTAAAAAAGGCTGATCTCGAAAATTAATATCGCTGCAAACTTGTTTTCCTCTGGTAAATCGCGAAATATAAAGTCGTCGCGAATAAAAGTTGGTTTACAGATTAATGCACTTTCATAAAATCTTTATTGCAAAAAGCCAGTGTGCACTTCTTATTTTAATCTTGATTGAACACATTTTAGGTTTGCAATATCAGTATATGAATACTGCCATTCTTTCTATTATGTCGGGGATATACCCATGAAACATATGGAGATAACGAACAGTATTCAAAATCAAGAGTCCATTAAACAATACAAAATAGGATCAGAGCAAACACGGATCTCCAAAACATCAGAGGTGGGATCAGATGCCATGGAGAAGTGAGCATCCCCTGCCGACCGGTCACACCTGCCGTGTGCTCCTTGTCATGATTGGAAAATAACGGAAAAATCCGTCTTCAATTTAGTGTATAAATAATGGACTAACAATTTGTATGAAAAACATCAATCAGCATTTGACTTAATGATAAATTGTATTTGCTGACAAGGTCATTGTAGCTACCATAGAGCTTACTAAATGATGACTTTAAACGAGACTGTTGACATTCTTGTTTTATCAACTTGTTTGTCAATAATTTACCTCGTTTTAGGAATTGTACGTACGTAAAGCATGTCCTTGCGTATCAGATCAACTGAGATATATACACTCTGTATGCAGGTGATGAAAGTATATTGCTGCATAAGTAAGGAAAGTTGACGATAGAAAAGTTAAAAGTCATCACGTTTATCATAGAGCTTGGTTGTTAGATAACCATTAACATCTTAAATTTCGAGTAAAATACAGTATACAAATAAGAAAAAGATGTGTCAGTCTCTGTGGTATCTTTTATTTCAAGCTCACCAGGATATATCGTATGGACATAAGAATGGAAATTACCATTGTTATTTGACAATACGTTGTCGAAATATCTAAATGTCGAGTTGAAGGCCACAGCAAGTGTTCTTTTTTTTCTTTTCACGCGTAAGGTTTTGCACAAATTCTGTTTCATATGAATACAAAAATTTAGTGATGCTTTCACAGAATCAATATTACAAAGTTTCATTGCATTCTTCCTACTTTATATTTGATCGCGGACAGATATATTTGTGCTTTCCCATCGCAAAAAAAAGAAATAAATTAAATAAAATAAAATAAAAAAAGAATGAATTTTTTTTCTAATGGACGCGTAACCAGCATACTAGTACTCACACTGGAGTGGGGATACGTACAGAGATTATTTTTTTTTAATCAAAGATTAATGAGTGTACGATTTTGTTTTAATTGTGACTGTTTTAAATGCGACGTCTTAGTACTGCAAGATATTACTTGAAAAGCATTGCGAAAACCTGTACACGATAATTGGTATGCTAGCTTAAGTATCTAGTTATTTTATTTTTACTCTGGATAATTATAAAGCATGGAGAGAATTGTTTACCCAGTACTGACGATAAAAGTCTGTAAAGTATAAATTAAAACATGGTTGTATTAAAGGTCGCTACCTCTGCCTTTTCATTTAATTATATATACTTAGAAAGAAAACCAGTACCTATTTCAAAACAAAATATATGTAAATAGATTAACTCCATTTTGCTATTCCTTTCCACAAAATAATTAATGTATAAACATCTTCATGTAAATAAACGAAAGTATTTTTTTTTCCTTTTTCATTTTTATTGAGAAAAATAAAAAAAAACAACGATTGTATAAATATAAATACAAACAATTTGGAATTCATATATTATAAATCTAGGTACAAAAACTCATTTTCTTTTCATATAGCTTAATTACACGAACAAATATTAACATTGGAAAAACATCCAGGTTCATTTTCACTTATGTATAAAAACAAAAAGTGAAAACTATCACAGCTCATATATCCGTAAAGTTCATAATACTGTAATCAGTCAATATTTCAACTTTAATCCATCTCCTCCACGGTAGGTCCTTGACCCTGACTAGCACCAGACTGACCCGGATTTCCACCATGAAGTTTGGCCATTACGGGAGAACACACCTTTTGAACCTCCTTTAGTTTGAATTCAAACTCTTCATTATCTGCTAAGGCGTTACTATCTAACCATGACAGAGTTTCACTGCAAACTCTGCTAACAGTGTCTTTGTCTTCAGATGGGAGTTTGTCTCCATGTTCCTCTGTTGCCTGTTTGACAGAGAACACATACGACTCCAGTTGATTCCGGGCTGCTATTTTTTGTCGTTGTTTCTCGTCCTCATCTTTGTATTTTTCAGCCTCGTTCACCATCCTGTCAATGTCAGCCTTACTTAGTCGACCTTTGTCGTTGGTGATGGTGATTTTGTTAGACTTGCCCGTACTCATGTCTTTGGCTGAAACATTTAGGATTCCGTTTGCATCTAAATTGAATTCCACTTCAATTTGTGGGACACCACGAGGTGCTGGAGGGATTCCATTCAGTTCAAATTTCCCCAGTTTATTATTGTCTTTGGTCATTGCTCGTTCACCTTCAAAAACCTGAATGGACACTCCTGGCTGATTATCAGCATATGTGGTGAATGTCTTTGATGCCTTGCAGGGAATTTTGGCATTTCTTTCAATGATTTTGGTCATGACTCCTCCAGCAGTTTCAATGCCCAAAGAAAGCGGAGTGACATCTACAAGTAAAACGTCTTTGATGGCTTCACTTGTGTCTCCCTTTAAAATGGCGGCCTGGATAGCAGCACCATAGGCTACGGCTTCATCTGGGTTGATGGATTTGTTCAGTTCTTTCCCGTTCATAAAATCCTGGAGTAGTTTTTGTATCTTGGGAATTCTTGTTGATCCTCCTACCAGTACCACATCGTGAATCTTAGATTTGTCCATTTTAGCGTCCCTTAGAGCTTTTTCTACTGGTTCCAGGGTAGCGCGGAATAAATCTGAACACAAGTCCTCAAATCTGGCTCGTGTGATTTTGCTGTAAAAGTCAATGCCCTCAAAAAGTGAATCAATCTCAATGTTGGCATCAGAGCTGCTTGACAGTGTCCTCTTTGCGCGTTCACAAGCTGATCTAAGTCGTCTTAGAGCACGTTGATTGTTAGAAATGTCTTTTCCATACTTGCGTTTGAATTCTTGTACAAAATGATTAACCATTCTGTTGTCGAAATCTTCCCCTCCAAGATGAGTATCACCAGCTGTGGAGCGAACCTCAAACATGGAGCCTTGGTCTATGGTAAGGATGGAGACATCAAATGTTCCTCCACCCAAATCAAAGATGAGTACATTTTTCTCACCTGAGAGGTTTTTATCGAGTCCATAGGCTAAGGCGGCAGCTGTAGGTTCATTCACAATCCTGAGAACATTGAGACCGGCTATGACACCAGCATCCTTGGTAGCCTCTCTTTGGGCATTATTGAAGTAAGCTGGGACTGTAATGACGGCGTCTTTAACAGGCTGTCCGAGGTATGATTCTGCCGTCTCCTTCATCTTGGACAGTACCATGGAGCTAATTTCCTCTGGTGTAAATCGTTTTGTCTCATGTTTGTATTCTACTTCAAGCTTTGGTTTTCCTCCCTCATTGGCGACTTTAAACGGCCAGTGTTTCATGTCGGCTTGCACACTCTCATCGTTAAACTTGCGTCCAATCAGCCTTTTAGCGTCAAAAATCGTATTAGCACTGTTTAGTGCTACCTGATTTTTAGCTGCATCTCCAATGAGCCTCTCGCTGTCTGTGAATGCCACATAACTGGGCGTCGTTCTGTTTCCTTGGTCGTTGGCAATAATTTCAACCTTTCCATGTTGAAAAACACCAACACAGGAAAATGTTGTACCAAGATCAATGCCGATAGCTGGGGCTTTACTAGCCATGATTGTTTACAAACACTAAAGTGAAAGTACAATATAGGTCAAATAATCACTTATGATAAATTATAAGTCTCTGTCGACTGCGTATTTTTTTTCGCAAGGTAACAGTGTTAATCTGCAAATTTTCGATGCGATTCAATTGACATTTTAGGTTTTGGTATGTCTCTCCGATCTCTCTGGCCAACTTCGGGATTCTGTACCTTTGGGCGGGCCATTGATCACCCGGGGGGAATTTTAAAAACGAGAATTTTACTTTTTGTTGATATGGTGTATCAAAATTCTTCATTCACACTTCATTTTCCCGCGGGACTCCGTATACTAGATCGAAAGATTTGAAGAATAATAATAATGTTCTGCGAAAATTCGGTTCTAATCTAAGTCAATTGACGTTTTAAACATAATCTAATCTATTTTTAAACGTGACCATTCGGGATTCATCGAGATTTTTAAAACATTTTGACTTCATTAATAGAATATTCATATATATAGTATATAAGGCAGTTCATGGCGAAAAATTTAGTTAAAAGACGTTCCATACAAAAAATACCAAGATGTCAGTTAACACAGTCATAAGAGGCTGCAAGTTTGAAAGATTTGATATAGTCATCAAGCACTACACAATTAACAGAGATACTATTACAGTCGTGAGTGATATCAATATTGAAATAGTTACTTTGCAAATTTTCGATGCGATTCGATTGACATTTTAGGTTTTGGTATGTCTTTATATACTATAATCGAAAATTCTTCACACTTCGGGACTCCGTATACTAGATCATGCGCGAAAATTCCCGAATAATCTAATCTATTTTTAAACGTGACCATTCGGGATTCATCGAGATTTTTAGAGAATATTCATTTATAGTATATAACTTTCACAAGATGTCAGTTAACACAGTCATTCGTGTTTACAAAACAACCATGGCAAGTAAAGCTCCAGCGATTGGGATTGACCTTGGAACAACTTTTTCCTGTGTCGGTGTATTTCAACATGGGAAAGTAGAAATCATTGCCAACGACCAGGGTAACAGAACAACACCCAGTTATGTGGCATTCACAGATACCGAACGTCTCATTGGAGATCCCGCTAAAAACCAGGTAGCCATGAACGCTGCTAATACAATCTTTGATGCTAAAAGGCTGATAGGACGCAAATTTAATGATGAGAGTGTGCAATCAGACATGAAACATTGGCCGTTCAAAGTCGCAAATGATGGAGGAAAACCAAAACTTGAAGTAGAATACAAGAATGAAACAAAGCGATTTACACCGGAGGAAATCAGCTCCATGGTACTGACCAAAATGAAGGAGACGGCAGAGGCGTACTTGGGACAGAAGGTGAAGGAAGCCGTGATAACAGTCCCAGCTTACTTCAATAATGCTCAGAGAGAGGCCACTAAAGATGCCGGCATGATAGCCGGTCTCAATGTTCTCAGGATTGTAAATGAGCCTACAGCTGCCGCCTTGGCCTATGGACTCGATAAAAACCTCTCGGGTGAGAAAAATGTACTCATCTTTGATCTGGGTGGAGGAACATTTGATGTCTCCATCCTTACCATTGACGAGGGTTCTATTTTCGAAGTTCGCTCAACTGCTGGTGATACTCATCTTGGAGGGGAAGATTTTGACAACAGAATGGTGAATCACTTTATGCAAGAATTTAAGCGCAAGTATGGTAAAGATATTTCTAACAATAGTCGTTCACTAAGGAGACTCAGGACGGCCTGTGAACGTGCCAAAAGAACATTATCCAGCAGCTCCGAAGCTAACATTGAGATAGACTCTCTCTTTGAGGGCATTGACTTTTACAGCAAAATCACTAGAGCAAGATTCGAAGACTTGTGTGCAGATTTGTTCCGTGCTACCCTGGAACCAGTAGAAAAAGCTCTTAGGGACGCCAAAATGGACAAGTCTAAAATCCACGAAGTTGTCTTGGTAGGTGGATCAACAAGAATCCCGAAAATCCAAAAAATGCTTCAGGATTTTATGGGTGGGAAAGAGTTGAACAAATCCATCAATCCAGATGAAGCCGTCGCCTATGGTGCTGCTGTCCAGGCTGCCATTTTAAAGGGAGACAAAAGTGATGTAATCAAGGACGTTCTCCTGGTTGATGTTGCTCCACTGTCTCTAGGAATAGAGACGGCCGGAGGAGTCATGACAAAAATCGTTGAACGGAACACCAAAATACCGACCAACGCCTCTCAGACGTTCACTACATATGCTGATAACCAACCAGGGGTGTCCATTCAGGTTTTTGAGGGCGAAAGAGCAATGACCAAAGATAATAACAAACTTGGTAGGTTTGAACTGAACGGAATCTCTCCTGCACCCCGTGGTGTCCCTCAAATAGAGGTTGAGTTTGACATCGACGCAAATGGAATCTTGAACGTTTCCGCGAAGGACAAATGCACAGGCAGGTCCAACAAAATCACCATCACCAATGACAAAGGTCGCCTGAGTAAAGCGGACATTGACAGAATGGTGAACGAGGCTGAAAAATATAAGGAAGAAGATGAGAAACAGCGGCAGAGGATAGCAGCTCGGAATCAGCTGGAGTCGTACGTGTTCGCCGTCAAACAGGCCGTGGATGACAGCGGCGATCAGCTGCCGTCAGAGGACAAGGAGGCTGTCTCCAGGGTCTGTAGAGAAACCCTGACCTGGCTGGAGAACAACAGTCTGGGAGAGGTCGACGAGTACGAGTTCCATCTGAAGGATGTCCAGAAGGTGTGCTCCCCTATCATGGCCAAACTTCATCGGAACGGCTCCACCGGAAACTCGAATCACGCAGGCTCACACCAAGGACCCAATGTAGAGGAGATGGACTAGAATTGTGAACGTATAGACTCATTGTTAAAAACCTCATAAGTATTGTGATATTATAGTGTACTTTCAATGAAAGACTTTTCATTTCAGCATTATAATTGTAAGTTAAAATGCTAGGAATATGTGTTGAAATATGTATCCTATGTTCGGATAAATAATGCTATAGTTCTATGTTATAATTTTATACATATTTATTTGTTTCTTTATTTTTTGTTGTGTTTTAATAAAACTACATGACACTAAATATTATTTTTTGTTATTTCTTCACATAGCATCATCTAGATCTATTAAGTGTGATAGACTCGAAATTTCAGAAAGGTCTAAAACTTTTTCTTACCTGGTATTAGTTTATTATCAATTTGTTGATTTTTTGCTGTCAATATAATTCTCGCACAGTTGAAGGTAATGATCTTTGAGTTTGGTATTAGGCACATGAAGGCAGATGGAACATCGTTCATTCTATAACGTCTATAGAACTTGAAATCCAGGCATATTTTTTTTTTTCGAGCAAACACGAAAAGTTTCCAAGTCTTGAAAAATTTAATATGCCCCCCCCCTCCCGAGAGTTTGCGCTTCTCCGTGGTATTTAGCGTGGGTCAGGTTTTTTTATTTTAAAAAAAGAAATACATGCATTGACTTTACGAAAACCGCAAGGCTACATAAAAAAGTGTTTGTCTTTCCTTTCAATTTGTGGATGGCCTGCTCATCGTGTGACCTACTGATGTATCATTCTCATATTCTTTAAAAATTCATTTTAAGTGCACAGCAACCTTCAATGCATGCTGTGATGACTTGCAAATCGCAGGTGTATGTCAGTACTTACATAATGCACATTTCTTAACTAAGGTATTTTTTTTTTCAAATGGAGGAAAAAGTTCATTAGAGGCAAATTTTTGTTTTTACAACTTCAACCAATACAAAGATATATTCCATGTTTTCTTTTTTCCAATTATTATTTTTTTTATTAAAAAAATTCTTGAATATAGGGAAACTTTTTTTCCAAACATTGTAAATAATTTAGACTAAGTAAATATTATAAAAATCGTTTAAACATGCAAATGACTACATGATATTTATACAGAGTTGTAGATTTGTTGCATATCTAAGATGAGAAAAGAAATTACATTGCCAGTAAATCTGTAAGAAAAGCATTTTGATGAACAATTATTAATCAGTAGGATCTCATCTCATATATATTAATGCAGGGACCTATATACTTAGTATATAGGTCCCTGATTAATACAAGCAAAAACAAGAGGCGCATGCTTCATGAATTAACAAAATGTACTTTTCACTCTCAAGAAGCTATTTGCTAGATCGCAGATTTTGATTTAGAGGTAACTGACTGATATGTTAAGATTTTATGCAATTTGACAAACTGATAGACCTTCATATCACCACTCAGTTGACCTTTTATTATACAAAAAGTATCTGCGTGTTTCTGTCGGTTTAATATCTACCAGGATCCGTGCCACATTATTTATGTTAATTACTTATCAAGGCGAAGCAATCCTTGTAAATATTAAACTTCAGAAGAGAAACCTTGTCAAGTCTTATTGAAATGCATTTGACCTTTAGAAGTCCTTCTACTCCATCCTCATGTTTGTTTTCTTAATCGAACACCTTCCAAGAGATGCATGCCATGAATATGAATGAATTTGGAGGGGGTATAATTAGTCAAATGGCCGCGCTAATAGCAGACTTGGAATAATGCTTTGTCGCGAGATGCAGTCCATGTTTCGGACTACGTGTGCACTGCTGATGGTCTCATTTTTACTCCTGGGAGTCTCGGTGTTCTTCATAAATCTCCTTCTGACACAACGAGGTAGGTGTTTATTGTCACATTTTTTCCCCCAAAAACTCCAAACTGTTCTTTTTTTTTTTAAGACGGAAAATACAAAAATAAATTCGATGCTTTATTTAAAAAATGACGCAATATGCTAAAACTATAATTATTTTTTTAACATTAAGAACAGTTTGGCTATTATATGTAATGATGAAACTTTTTTCTCCCATAAGCATTTGCTTTTTTCTGGAAAAAATGCAAGAATCCAAATGGAAGTGCAAAGGTTAACAATTTTTACTTAGTATTATTCAACTATATGATTTGAAAATTGGATTGACACAATATGATTCATTAGCAGACTGTAGTTTAACACGCAAATATTCCTGCTTATTAAAAAATATATTTCTATTAAAACATTTATAACATAAGAGTACAATTTTTGAAATTTTATCAAGACTTTAACATAAAAAAGACTTTAAAAAATTTAAATTAAATTGTTATTGAATTATAACACCTAACTTGTTAACTTGTTACCCCCCCCCCCCCCCCCCCCCCCGGGCTCCGGCGCCTCTGCATTGAATGACACAATGATGCGTTTGTGAAACACTGATGCCCATCCGTATGATAGTGTTTGCTCTCCCCCCTTCTAAATCCCCCACGCCCTTGTTCGAAAAAAAAAAATCGGGTGTATGCCCCCTTTCCCGCGGTTTCTAAAGGCCTTCAGAATAAAGTTCAGGGATTACAAGTACGTAGGATGTATCCTATCTCCAAGTCGACCTAAAATTCACAGGATAGGAAACACATACATGAAACAAAAAATTAATGAACTGAATTATTACATGTTCATGAGTAATGTCTTCCCACAAATTTTTATTAAAATAAAAATTTGGTGTTATGACTATTGGTGTTAATATGCAAAATTGATAATAGTTTTGCATTTATTGAGATTTGATAACCAAGGGCGCCTAATATTGAAATAAATAAATCATAATTACTTTATATATCAATCAATATCGCACTACCCGTATTATGAAGAAAGAAAAAAAATAAATAAATCATTTTAAAAAACAAAACAAGCAAAAGGAGATTTTATGGTAGAAAATGATATGTTTTATACAGAAAATAAATTAATTCAAAATTCATTGGATGGGCATCGTCCAAAATTATTCAGTATTCATAAATATTTGCAAAGTGTACATGCTCTACAATTTCAAAACAATTCCACGCGTCAATAGAAACAAGCTAATTCAGAGAATTCGTGTCCCCCGCTTAGGGAAAAAGTATTGACTGAATTTGTAGAATTATTAAATGTATACATGTATACTGAAGGAAATAAAATACATGTATGTCAATATGCATATAAAGATTTGATTGCTTATTCTTTATTATGTGTATAGAAGATTTTTTTTTTATATGGAATATTTATCACACTGTAATGATGATTTTATAACCTCATAAATTTTTCATTTCACATGCTGAATACTATCATCCCGGGACCTCACACATTTGAAGCGAGTGACATAACCACTAGACCACGGAGTCGCTTAACACGCAGTGAAGTATATGCAGAACTGAAGTCACATACGTGTATATATTCATGTTTTCATGTTCGGTATTCTCAAAATTTTACACAATCCATGGTGTTTGATTTATTTAGCCTTTATTAAACAGTTATAATAGATGTAATAAGAACATAAAGTCCGCCGAGAACCTGTTTTATACGCAATAACTCTCCTCATGCCCCTGCGCTAAAAATAGCGACATGTAATACTATAAATACTAATAAAACAAACGGGGCGGGGCACTTTGAGAGGGGCGAGAGACGTCCTAGGGAGTTTTGGTATAAAATTACATTGCATAAGCTCAAAATCTTCTTGAAATATCGCCCGGAAATGATAGTGTTACACACAGACAGAATGTATAAATTTACGACCTTGAACTTTGACCTTTTGACCTCAAAATCAATAGGGGTCTTCTTTAGGCCACAGGGAGTTGTTATGTAAAATTTCATTGCGATAGCTCAAATGGTTCTAGAGATATCGTGTGGAAACGAAAGTGTTTTAACAGACAGAATTTGCTTAACCTTGACCTTTGACCTTTTGACCTCAAAATCAATAGGGGTCTTCTTTAGTCCATAGGGAGTTGCTATGCTAAATTTCATTGCAAAAGCTCAAAGGGTTCTCGAGATATCGTGTGGAAACGAAAGCGTTACAGACAGACAGAAAGACGGACGGACGGACGGACGGACGGACAGACGGACGGACGGACGGACGGACGGACGGACGGACAAACCCAAATTAATATCCCCCACTTTTCAAGCGGGGGACAAAAAATCAAAAGGTGTTGCTTCCCGCATTTATAAGCTTCCGTAGCAAACGGAAGTGGTCCAAATTCAGCAAATTGTATAGCGTACAGGTACATCTCTGAAGGTTGTCATGAAAAAGTTGTACGTCTGAGCATTTTGTAATACCCATTAAGTGGCCGTGAATAAGTAATGATCTAATAAAATAGGCATTAAATTTCTCAACTCGAAGGTTAGTATGTCAGTTTATTACAATGAAGGTATAAGAAAAGTTTTAGAGTTATGTCCCTTCCTACATATAATTTCGTAAGTCGCTTCCGCATATCCATACATCCAAATCAATCACAATATACAGAAAAACAATGGAGTCTTTTAACAAATTACTCAAGGCATTCAGGTAATATAAAGTATGAGAATACGTGTGGGTGTGATTCGTCTTTTTGCTTTCAAGGAAAAGCAAATCGCGCTAACTCACACGTGAGGTTTGCTAGTCGGAACAAATTCTATTTTTATTAGCACCTGGCAACATGTACACATCGAAGTTTAAAGGCCTCTTACTTTGTGTGACACGGATGAATCGATAAGATGGCGTTGAAATAACACGGGATTTTTTTTTATTATTTAGAATGATTCTTCAGTATATCAAAAATGTCTACATCACATTTTCAGATAGTGGGCATCAGCATCCAAGGGTCAAGACAGGGTCTGCTCTTGCAAAAGCCGGGCTGAAAAAAATTGGTAAGTACTTAACTAGCCTTTTTTTTAAAATACAATAGGTAGTTTCTTTAATACTTGGTAAACTTGCATGGGGGGTTAAATTCTATTTGTCAACAATGGTTAACCATGTATTGTATGAATGTTTGGCACCATGTCTTGTATTTTGTCTGAGAATATATCTGAAAAATTGTCAGTTGATGTTATGTCATATCAGATAATCAGTTTAGAACTGTATTGTTCTTGTGCAAGCAACAATTAAATTTAAATAGGTATAGATTAAAAATGTCGATCATCATAAGCGGGGGTTTTGCAATAAGTAAGGCATCTATCAGATCTATCAATCTGTAATATGTATACCTTTGAATAATTTGTTCCAATTATACAATGCATGTGTGAAAAACTAAATTAAATGAAAAAGTAAATTAAATCATTGGTGCATCTGTACAACAAAAAATAATATTTACCAAATAGTAAGCAATAACAATTTAGCATTCTTTTAAAATACTGAAATAAAAATAGAGGACTAGATATTGTGCCATTGTCATGCCTTTCATGAGGTGCATTTCACTTATCCACATGTATCAAGATGAATCAAATCTTCCCTTTAGCAAAGTGTGTCATGTAGGATAAAAACACATTATTTTACTTTCATGTGCACTGGGAGGCTCATTTCCACCTTCAAAGAGATGAACAGTAAACAGTCATTAACAGTGCATGATATATCTCCGTGTTTATAAGTAAATGTTGTTTTTCTTTTTTATATGTTAATTTGTAATTACATTATAAATATATAGGATTAGGGCTAAAATAGGCTGAGCATACTGCCCAATCCTATTCACTTCTAGATCAGTAAATATTAGATATTATTTAAAAATATATTAATTATATTTCCTTCTGGAACAGTGGATAGGTAAAAACTGATTAAAGATATCATTCACCATTGATTGGACAGAGTATCCATGAGGAAAGAATTTGATATCAAATAAAAGAGTTCAATTTAATTAACATAACCTTCAATTTAATGTAAAGCTTTCCAGCATTTTTAGTAGGTGTTAACTTAAATTAGCAATTAAGCTCAATCTAGTCCCTGATACATGTTATAAACTTGGGATTAGTGACCTTTGTTAATACATAAGAAATAAGATCTTGTAATTCATCTTTACAACAATTTTTTTTTCATTATTCAGTTGGAAAATGTGTGCTTAAATTACAACTAGCTTCTTTCTTGACTTGGTACATGTATTAAGAAGTAATGCGCACCCAGATATTGAGAGAGCTTTGAACTGAATTAAGTTTCCTAGAACTACAAATAGGTCTGTGGGGTGGGGACTAGTGAACAGTCTGTTAAGGACTGAGGGGAGGGGGTTTAGAAGGTGGGTTTGGAGTGGGGACTAGTGGACTACATATTGGGAATAGTTTGATAAAAATAAATTAGTCTTGGCATTAAACAGGTTGGGACCAATTGCCCAAATGGGATATAATAGTCCGTTTGGGATATAATATCCCAAATGGGCTACAAATTTACAGTGGAAAATTTTTATTTTGGCTATTAATATCACAAATCCGCATCAAAACACTTAAAAAGGAATAACTTTTGGTAAGCAGGTTTTTCTGCAACCCTACCATTTGGATTGATCCCCAAGAAGTTAAAGAACTTGGGGATCGATCTCCTAAACAAATGACATACAGGAAAACTTGTCAACCAAAAGTTATTCCTTTTTAAGTGTCCTGATGCGGATTTATGATAATTATAGCCAAAATAAAAATTTTCAATTTTTGCACTGTAAATTTATAGCCCATTTGGGATATTATATCCCAAACGGACTATTATATCCCATTTGGGCGATTGGTCCCAACCTGTTAAAGCTTCAAGGAATTAGGATAAGTAGGCAGATGGACTTGCAGGTTTTTTTTTCAGTTTCCTGGAATTATATGCAAGGCACCAGCCAGCATACTCATTACTAAACTTTGCATATAGCATGTGTAAACACTGTATATACTCATAATTTTTATGATGGCTACCTTTTAATTCTCATGCAGAGCTTAAGAAACTTTGATTTATGCAGCTTACCATGCAATCGGATAATCAACTTAGGATTTAGGAGGGGTATAGCATGATATGATTTCTTTAAATTCTGTTTCTCTTTGTTCAGTGTTTGCAGATTCTTTAAATTTTTTAAGTTGTTAAACAGTGCAGTAGATGAACAAATTTCCATGCTTTTTGAGATACCTGAAATTTAATACGTTTTTATATAATTTAGGATGATAAAGCTTTCCAGGAAAAAGGATTTTAAAAAAATTTATAATTTACAAGTGACAATACATGCATGTATATTAAAATCCAGACAACAAAAGTAACATATAAAATGTCATCTACTTATGTGTAGGTTATGATCAGTTATGAAATATATGTTGACATTTTCCAGGCATAGAAATATAAGATTTTACAAATATAATTAATTTTTATGAATAATGTAGAAAATTTTAATCAGATCTGCTGTCTGTTTTTAAAACTAAATGAAGTCACCTACATGGCACAGTGGTTAGAGCATTTGCTTGAGAGCCACGGAGCAAGTAGTTGATCCCTTTATCACAGGTTCAAATCCCACTGTGGGCCTTTGGATGAGACTGTACAACTTAGGTCCCTTGTATTAGTAGATGCCTACTTAAACAAGCATTCTGAGAGTATTGCATAAGCAATACATGTCCCCTACCGGGTTCCCCTTTTTCTTCAGGATGTCATTTTATGATATGCAAAAATTATGACCAAGGTAAAACTGCTTGATTTTGAGGTTGTGAATGTGAATGCCTTTAACCTGAGAAAATAATCCACATAAAGACGAAAATTCATTTAAGAGGCTGTCCACCGAAAAACCAGGCAATGGGTGGCACATCGTATGTCATAGATTTCAATTATTTTTTGCATGTAGACTTATTAAAGCAAGTGTTTACACATGACAACATCAAAAAATTTTATAGTGCTCCCCTAGTCCTAGTTTTGGTAAATGCTTAGTTTTAACTGCAAAAAGGTCAACATGAGGGTAAAAAAATTACTACGTTTTTATTTTGTTTTATATGTCTCAGATCTCAATAGCTGGATGTGTCGATGAATATTATTTATAGCATAGACTCTTATCTTTTATTCTATGAATTAATAAGACTCCAATTTATACTTTTTTAGAAAAATTATATGGTCCAAATTTGAGTTTAGCAAGTAACTGTTTAAATTGAGTATCCAATTTTAATTACGTTATAAAACCCAATACAATACAAGGACAGATTTGTTTACTTATGTTTTAATGAATACAAAGTACAAACTTTTGGGTCATTCAATAAAAACATTGGGAAAAGGTATTTTGAAAGAAATAAAAGGAGTCAAATTTACTTATTTTTTATAGTTTTCACAAATGAAACCGATCCCGACCGGAATTGTATAAAGAAGAAAATACTAAAATAGTAATGTCAAATTTGGCTCATTGTTGTAATATGATTAATAAATTACTTGATTTATTTTTTTGAAAATATTATATAGGTGGCAGGTGCCTTAAGTTTGAAAAATTTATCAATTTTTCATTATTTTCGATCGGGATCGGTTTTATTTCAATCGGGATACCGTAAATTTAGAAAAATTTCCTAAATTTGGCTCTTCGTTTTAATTTATCAGAAAAAATGCTTGTCTGTTATTTCTTTTCAGTCAGTTTACTGTTTTTAAATGAGTGTAACCATAGATTGAAATGTACATATTATTTAAATTACCAATGTCTTTTACTTACATGAAGATTACATGTAAAACAACTGATTGATTTCTTAATAGATACGCGGTATTTTAAAAAAAGTATTTGTGCATGCATTATGCAACAACAAGAGCAGACAACATTCTAGCTTCATTATTCATCCTATTTCCAAGTAAAATTTCTTTTTTATATGTCTCAGGAATTAAAAATCGAGTAAATTCTATCAGTAGCGAAATTAAAATTGCCTAAATGCAATAAATATTTTTATGTGTAAAGTCTCGACTTTATCCAAGTTTTTTCTTACCTGTCATCTGTAAAGCCTTTTCCTCTTTTACAAATTTGTCTTTATATAAATAAGAAAATAAGTTCTTTCATGTATAGTATAATTATTCAAGAGCCGAAAAATCGCAAGCAAGAAGCGCGGAAGGGGGGTACAGGGTCATGGCATCATTATTTTTAAAAATTGGTTTCATGAACATGAAAACATTTTAGTATTGGTCAACATAGTCACAGGTTTATACTCCATATTAAATATGAGCGTGTGATTGTTTCAATCGCCGAATGAAAATAAATAAATAAAATAAATAAACCAAAAAAAAAAATTGTTTCACTAAACCACCTTCCGTTATAGTGCCAAATTATAGTCGGGAATTCAGCAGTAAATTTAACTCGATAAATATATTTTTATAACTTATTTTTCAGTTTTTTTTTTTTTTTTTCATTTTAATAACTGTATATTATGGAATGCCATATACGACAGCCAACTGCTTACTGCCGAGCCTGCTTACTGTCAACTGTCAGCTGCTTACTGCCAACTGCTGCACAAACTTGAATAAATTTTATTTTTATATTGATATTTATGTAAATTTTCACACACACAAAAACAAACAAAACAAACAAACAAACAACAACAAAAAGAAAAAGTCGATTAAACATTTAATATATCTATTTGTTTTTGCAAATAAGATGTGTTTTACATGCTTAGATCTAGAGAAAGGGGTCCAGATCACCCCTCTGAATTCTGTAAAGATATTTAATGCACAAACTAGACCAACTAAAAGTTATCAACTAAAAGGGACCTTAGAACCCCCACCCCCAATTCGTGTTAAGTTGGTATAAAAAATGTCATAGACATGAAGGTGTGACGCATAATTACCCCCCTCTCCCCAGCTGAAATAAATTTTCACATTTAGGAAAGGACTAACATTCGTTTTATTTTCTTGTCAAGAAATTTCTGGGCTTGATTTTTTTTTTTACCAGAGTGACCCTCTTGGTAAAATGTCCTAGATCCGCACCTTGTTTTTTTTTTTTTTCTTTTTTTGAAAATTCATATAAATATAACATTTGTTCAAATATGTGTGGCAGTTGGCAGTAAGCAGTCAGCAGTTGGCAGTAGGCAGTTGGCTGCTGTATATGGCATTCCATAGTATATCGTTTATTTTGATTTGATTGCATAGATAAATGTATTTAAGTTTTAGTTTTTACATATACCAACTTCTTTGAATTAAATGTAGCGTAAATCTAAAACATTCATCATTGATTCCCAATTTTATAAGAAATGTTCATTATAAACACTTCATTAATTATTTTAACGCATATCCTGGTAAATCAATTTTAAAAAAAATAGTTCTCGGACATGTATAAAAATTACGTATCAAAACGTCATCTTGCTGAGACGCCGCCCGTGTACTGTGTAAAATACATTTTGATATTAAAATATTATTTAACATTTAGTATAATGCACTCTGAAGAGTAATCAAACAGAAAAAGAGAAATCATTTTTTAAAAATTATTTTTCTTTACACTTTACGCAAAGAATTTACGAATTTCTCTGGAAAACTTGTAACTATTTCATTGTGACGCAATATTATGACGTCACTGATACATCAATGGAAACGTGGATTAAACCTGAATATTATAGCCAATTTTAATCTAAATATTATGTTTGGAGGCGAAAATGAATTATATTTTGAAAAAAAATTATTTATTTTTTGTTTAATAATTTTCTTTAGTGTATCGATTCTAAATATTTCACTAGGATTCCGATGAAAATGTGTTTAGCAGATTTACCGATGACGAGGGAGATAACTCTTGCATCGCAAATTTTCATACAAACGTCTATATATTTTGCCAGAAAACTTCTATTAAAAGTGTTTTTCCCAATGATTTTATTTTTTAAACATAAAGATGAAATATTACTAGGTTTATTTAAGTGTAAATTTTAGTCCTGTTAAAATTGTATTAGAAATTACAGCTCTTTGTTTCTTACCAACTTTCAATGGTTTATATAGGGGAATTCAAAAACACAGAACACAAGGATATTTTACTAAATAAGCAATTTTCAAACAAATCTTCAGTTACATTATTCCTTTTGGACTACATTGGTATTGTTTTTAATAAAATACCAAATATTCATCACATTCGATGTGCCGCCTATTAATACAGTACTGCCTGGTTTTTCGGTGGACTGCCTCTTAATTTTTTTTCAACATCTTTTTCTCGGTTCATATTTACCATGTTGACCATTGGAATTGAGCGCAGCACGAACCCGATCTTAAACCATTATGAAAAATTATAAATGTCATAATTCTGTCAAACATCAATGAAGCAAAATGAAATTCAAACTTGATCTGTAACTCATCAAGATACACCCATATACCAAACATCAGCTCAAAATCTGCAAGCATTAAGGGAAAAAAGTGTGGAAAACCAAGTAGGACAGCTAGACAGACGGACGGACAGACGCAGAGGAAACATTTTACCGGTTGGGGACTGATCTCTCACCAGTCACTGCTAATGGCCCTGAGTGCCCTGGAAATAGGTCTAAAATTTGAAACCCCCCACCAACAATTTATGATGTCTCAATATTAGGGAATGATTCTCAAAGAGACATTTAAACAAGCAAACAAATAACATCAACAATTAATTGAAGATTTTTAAATAAAAAGTTTTGATGCATGTATAATCAACATGATTTTTTAATGAAAATACCATGTATAATAAATAATATTTATGCAATTATTATATAAATTTTGATATTTTCAACAAATATTTTGTAGCTTAGTAAACACATTGTTGTATGTCTTTTTCATGTTTATGACAAATTACTCTAACTGTGTTAAATGATTGACACTTTATCATTTTATAAATGTCTGCTTGTATTTTGAAATGAAGTATTTATGTTTATGCTTGACGTTTTATAAGGTATCACTATTACTCATTCATTATAAACAATTACATGTATTTATTATTAAAGGGATGGGTCCTGAGGGTATTTTTGTTATTCCGTATTTAAACTTTTAAAAGATATGACCTTAATAATCCTGTGAATATTTTTCTTTTCAAAGAGAACGTTTTCTGCTTTGGGGTGGCATTTATTGAACCTGTAAATAAAAATAATTTTTATTTAAATGTCTCTGACTATCTCTAGACCAGGGAATCATTGGAGCTTATTTGTTTCAATAACACACATAAATGACATTATTATAAAGAATACTAATTTTCTTTGCATATTAAAGAAAGTAATCAGGTTTCCCCACTGCATTTCAATGCATTCATGCATTGAAAGCATAAAAATGAATTATTAATTCTTAAATGGACATTCCATTTTTCACTTTTCGTAGAAAACACCCACAATGTCCTGTTCATATGACAGCAATTAGGAATACAATTATGTCAGTTATTAAAAAAGCCAGTATATGACTGTCATTTTCATTCATTCATTTATAGACACATTTAGAGAATGGAATATACAGAGGAAAAGTCAAAAGTAACCAGCACTGATCAATTAGAATTCCTTGCTAAGTAATTTCTAGTTCCATATGCTATGACAATAACTCCTACAGGACATTTGTATTTAATTGGACACTAGTGTCTCATGAGTCAATAAACTTCAAAGAATATGCAGCTTGTTAGGTCATAAGTTTCATAACCACTGTGTTAAAAATTGACATTTTTGTAATCTATTATTTTTTAGAATAAATATTGAAGGCATCATAAAAATTTACATTGAAGCATTTCAATCTTAAAATTTCAGAAAAATTCTTAACTTGATAAAATCAGGAAGTAAATTGGCAGATAAGTATTTTGAAATGATTTCTCCCTCAAGAAAATTTATCCTTAATGCTTACTGAACTGAAAATGTTTAAGTACATTCTACTTTCGGGTTTTTTTTAAATCATTATTTATGTTGTACACTGTATAAGGTTTAACAATGGATGTGAAGAAAATAATATTTATGTATTACTGTGTTACAAACCATTAATACAGTATCATGAACACAGGCTACAGAGAGATACATAAAGAGATACATTTTACGTTCATAACTAGTTATGTATGAATTATGATTGCTTCCTTAAGAGAATCTTGCATAGCTTCCTGAATATGTATTCATGTACATCTAGAAAATGTTTTGATAATGTGTTGTCTCTATTTTTATAATTCTGTGAAGTACAGCCTTGTTTGATTTCTGCAATATATATACTGTACTCCAAACAGCACTACTGATTGTTATTTTCCATGAAATTCGACCAATCCAGCAAGCCCTCTCTTATCTTGTACATGGGTAGTACTTTTGTCTTCAAAGCATTACAGAAAATTGTGAACCATGTGCTTTGATAAGATCATGCAGCGGCCATCCAATAGCAGTTATAAGTCCGAAATTAAATATTTTGACTTTGGTCTGTAATTCATAACATGAATAACACCTCCCCCCACCCCAATCCTTTATTAGTATTCCTCAAAATGTGGATCATTTTGAAAATGAAGTAAGAATTATAATATATGAGATTTGAGAGTTTGGTTCTTGTTGGCATTGTAGTCTTACAAAATGTAGATACATGTACGGTATTTGAATTTCACACAAACTTTAACCATATGAATATTGCATAAAGGTTGAATATTTAAATGTAATTTGTGTAATATTATCCAAATTTCCTCAATTGATTATTCTAGTCCATTGTGTTCTTGCTGGGTACCCCAGGCAAAACTTGCATGGTAACAAAAAATTGTTCATTTGTCTTATTAAATAAGTTAGTGTTAGTAAAACATCTAGTATAGTTTAAACAGCTTTTGAACAAGTCATTATTTTGCTAGGTCAGCATTTTCCTGAGCTTGCCTTTGTTGCTGTTTTTTAAAATCATTAAAACTAATATTTGTTTTTCAGTCTTGAAGAAAGTAATGTCTTCCCTACAGCGAACCCCCACCTTACCCCCAGGTACCAAGCCCTTAGATAATCAGGTGGCAGGCCACCAAAACACAGAGGGCAAAATAGGTAAGCTTCAGGTATTTGATGAGAACATTAGATATATTGTTCTTGTACAGTGGTAGAGCATCGCTGGTTAATTAACAAGAACAAGGTACCCTTGTCAACTTCAGTGCTATAGAGAAGAGAGTATATAGTATCTTGCTTTTTGTTATCAAGATTCTGAGCAAACAATGTAGTGTGCACTTTTTGAGTGGATAAAATGTTTGAAATGTTAACGCACAAAAAAGCAAGAGAGGATTATCTTCACTAGACCTTTAAATACACATTATTTGTTTGTGAATCTTTATTCATTTGTATAGCTTTAAATTCTGGCAGAAAAATTTTCAAGAAATATTTTATAAACGACACAATACAAGGGGTGCTCAGAAATGTCAAGGAGATGCAGTAACCTTATCTGCTTTCATATTCACAGTCAAGAATATTCTTTAAAAACATCTTTTAAAAATGCATCTCTTGAAAGCCATTTGTCATTTCTTTTTTAAAAATTAATTTTTTTGTTAATTGAATTATGGTGTGAGTGGGTGGTCGTGGTGACTTCTAAGTACATGAGATTTCATTATTTAGCTTATTAATAAGTGGTCTACAAGACAATTTGCCTCAGTTCGTTTTCAGTACAAATTTTCAGGCTCTGTATATGTTTATATGGATTAATAAGATTAACATAAATTAAAAGATTAAATTTGCAAAAAAGTCAGATTTGTTTCAGAAATCCATATCCATTTTCAAATCTTTAGATACTGTAGAAGTACTTTTTTCCGTTTGGTAGTAATTTACGGCTAACGCTATGTACGCGGTTACAAATTTTCCGCGGAAATTTGTCCAAGCGTACTTATCATAAATGTAAGGCATATAGTGACAGTCTAAGAAATCCGCGTAATTTTCTACCAGTGGATTAAACAGAAATTGAGATTCCGCGGAATTATGACCCCGTGGAAAAAAGTACGTCTACAGTAGTTGCGATGAGGCTATATTTGCTTGCTGCACATTTCATATATATAAAATGACTAAAATTACAAGTGACCACTCCCTATTTGATTTGTACTGTAATTATATTTGAGAAATGTTTCTTATTAATCAGAGTGATTGAACAAGATAAAACAAAAAAAACATGAGAAATCATTCATATGACTGATTATAACAGAGTCTATGAACCAAAAGGGATTTATTAATTCCAGCATTAATGATGCTTTCTATTCCAATTCTGTCTTTCTGAAATGAGGCTTAAGAAAAATCAATTATTTTAACAACATTGCAATACATATAAATGATGGCAAAGACCTAAATCATGGCCTGAAGTCTGCAATCTAACAGAGATCAAATGAGGTTTACTTATCAACTTTCAGGATATTAGTTATCACCATGATTGACAAATCAGATATTGATTCTATATCTATTTCATGATGCTGTACAGTTACTGTAGTATTTATATGGATTATCCCAATCTTCATCTTGTTCGACTTTCAAGTTAGCTAATTGTTTTTCACGTTAGGGTGTATGCAATATTAGTCCAGATTACAGTCATGATTTCACTGTTAACATTTCTTTTGTCTAGATTCCAGATTTTAAAAAAAGATTAAATGTGCATTTAGTGTTCGCTTTTAATTGATTATTGGAAATCAATGTTACTTTTAAACCTTTTAATATACCTTCAGCAATTTTATAAAACTTGCTGGTAAATGTTTTTATGTTTCAATATAGAGGTACATGTATTTTTGTACTTGTAAACTGTTTTGGGTACAAAATGAAAGTGGATACATCTACCCCTTAACTATTAATTATTCATAATTCTTTAAGGATAAATACCTTTCATATTAAGTGGATTCCTGCATTTTCAGTCTTCCAAAAAAAAAAAAAAAAAAAAAAATTGGGGAAAATATAAAGGGGTGGGGGGGTGTTTCTTTTATCACAGACTCATCATAAGTAGATTTAGAGCTTGGACTAATTGAAAACTTCCTGGTGCCTGTAGACAATGATGTACTGTAGATAATTTTAGCAACATAGGTATTGAGAACAAAGTAAAGATTATCTTTAAAAACCTACTTCACAGGATTCAAAGGGCAAAGATTACTACCGGTAATTATTGAATATATTGGCCATTTTTTCATAAGAGCCTCTCATCAGTGTATAAATGTACTTGTTCAGATAAAATTTCAAGACATGGACACGGCAAAGCTGAGCGCCCCACTATCACAGACCATATCTATAAATTAAGGCAGCAGTTGACGTTGATCACAATACAAACTAGTGCTAATTGTAACGGGAACCGTTACAGATGTTCCCCAAACGCTCCCCAAATCCCTTTTCGTGCCATATTCCTTGTAAGCTTTATTAAAAAAGGCAAACTCTATGCATTTAAGACTTTATCAACGTTTTACCAGAAGTATTCCAAGTATATTCAAATTTAAGCATAGCACGCGTGCACATGTGAATGCATATGCATAATACTAACATCTTGTCGCCACTATTTAGAAATCTTGATATACTAAATATTGAAGCGTTAAATCCAAAAGCATTAAAAATACGATCATTCAGGTGTATTCTTAATTTTACCAATTTCACGTGCACGCACGTGCATGCATGTGCATGATGACCATACCCTCTTGTAGGAGTCTATTATGTCTGTGTAAGGTCCAAATCCCATCCTGTTTGGTTGAAAAACAAGGGAGTTACAGCCATTTAAAGTTTAAGCCAATCAGATTGCAGCGCACGTGCATGTGCATGCATTTATGAAAATTGTTACATATCATATTGTTGGATATCTTAATGCATGCCTATGTCCAAGATTTCATAGCATTTCGTCAAAAAACGAAAAAGATATTGATATTTTTGTTTCAGCCAATCAGATCAAAGCGCACGTGCACGCACGTGCATGCATGTGCATGACGACCATACCTTCTTGTAGCAGTCCATTATGTCTGTCTATGTTCTAAACCCCATCTTGTTTGCTTGAAGAACAAGGGAGTTATAGCCATTTAAAGTTTAAGCCAATCAGATTGCAGCGGCGCATGCGCATGTTTTCATGACAATTGTTATATATCATTTTGTAGGACATCCTAAAGTATGCCTATGTTTTAAATTTCATAGCATTTTGTCAAAAAACAGAAAAGATATTGAGGTTTTTAGTTTCAGCCAATCAGAGCAAAGCGCATGTGCATGCGCGTGAGTTCGTGCTAATTTGACAGTATTATATTATTAACACTATTAATATATCCTTATATAATGAGTTTCAAAGCATTTCATCAAAAAATGTAAAAGTTATGACTATATTAAATATATCAGTCATTTCACTCATTTCACGCGCACGCACGTGCAGGCGTATGCGCGCAAAATGACCTTCGTTCCGCACACCTACACTACACACCCATTAACCCTAAAAAGGTTTTAACTTAGTTTGGTGAACAGTTTCTGAGAACACTCGCGGACAAAAAAGTACCGGAGAACAAATAAGAAAAAAAATAATAATAATAATAATAAGAAACAGAGTAAAACAATATGTTCCCAAACTTGTTTGGGGAACATAATTACATCACTTCCATTTCACACAGGACATAACCCACAAATAAGCACACACACATGATAGCATTACTAACCAGTGTAATATTATTCCCTACAACTCTGTTGTAATGGATTATAAATAGTGTTGAAAAAAGAAAAAATCATCTCAAAACTTATGTTGCTAATTCATTGCTTGCCTAAACTTTTCACAATTTGTAAAATATGGCAAAAATCACTGATGCCAGCAAAGAGCAAGGTTCGACTGATGCTTGGGGCCTCTTTTGGCTCTCTGAATTAAGAAAATGAATACTTCATGGCCATGCAGTTTTAGGTGACAGTGCAATAATATCAGCAGCACCTTGAAGACTTATTTATTGAAAAATTTTGTGGAATTTGCATTTTCCATGTTTTTTTTTATTGCCAAACATTGCTGTCATTTGCCTGTTAAAGTCCCGTTTCTTTTAGTGCAACATGATGGTTTCTCCTAGTTTCCCAAATTATATGGAATGCCTTAGGCCAACATTTTTTTATTTACTGTTTTACGGGAATTTTTTTCAAAAAATTGAGTCGGGGGGTCGAAATAAAAATAAAAATAAAACCTTCAAATTCAAGCAGTCGGTCAGAAAAATAAAAATAAAACCAAAAAATGTAACAATTTTTTTTATTTTTTGAATTAAGAATGGAATTGTTTTATTACCTTAATTTGTCAGAAAAGGGTGTTATTTGAAAAAATTAATGCATGCAAAACAATTTTATCATATATTTTTTTTGGTATTCAATAAATAATAAGATTTGAGGATTTATGAGTAGCTATCATATGGCAAGAATATATATTTAGTGAGGCTTTTAATGGATCATTTAAATTATTTCACAAGTGAGACTAATGGTAAAAGAAAATCTGTGTATCTTTTTCAATGCAATTCAAATTAATATACACAAAAATGGATAAAACATATCTTTTCTCTTGAAATCATATTCAAATTGCCTCAAAATTGCTACAGCTTTCAAAGTACATGATTGTTGAAAATACACATATTTACCATAAGTATATACATGTAAAATAGGCAATGACAATTACTCTGTTTACTGCAGAATTCGAATATTTGTTAAAACTTGTTCTAATCCACAACTTTTGAATAAAAAAACCCAGGTCATATTTGTATGGACGTATCATCTGCAGCTTTGTTTTTCCCAATTGGTATTTTTTAAAAAAAAAAAAAAGAAAGCTGTTATTACCACGCTGATGTACATTAATTTGTTACATAACAAGCAAAATTCCATTTTGAATCGTAATAAGTGTGATTAACATGATATTAACGAGTGAAAGTTGGTACTCGAATTTCCTCAGTCACGCCAATTTCTACAGTGTTCTGTACAGTCGTTACATGTAAAAGAAAACATGATTGTCATAAAAATAAGTTTCAGAACAATCTTCAAGCCGTATTTCAATGCTTTAAAACAGTTGTCAAGATAATACATACTTAAAACCTCTCAAAACAACGGGTTGACAG